GGCCAGGAGCCCCTAGTAGCGATGCCCTTTGCTCCTAGTAGCGATGGGACAAATTCGGACAAATAGCAGCTGAGAATCCCATGAAGCAAAGTCCCAAGGCATTCTTCGACATGCTGGCCAACACACAGGACATCGTACCGAAGGCCACCACGTGCCCACCTGGCCGCGAAAATGCTCGCCTACTTGCAACTTATTCGATCAACCAGCTACCGAGTATTGGCTTGTTTCATTCTATTTGAGGCCTTCCCGGCCAAATCTGGCAAAGCAAAAATGTGACTGTGCACTTTGTGACATCCAAACAATCCCACTGGTAAAGTCTTCCTGATTTTCCATGTGCTCCCACTGCTTGCGCCATCGGTCAAGGTCCACGGCTCAGGACTGCGTGGCCGCCCAGTCCCTTGTGGGCTGTGACCCTGGCGGAGGTATGCGAAGCCTTGACCAAAAAAACTCCTTACTAGTAACTAGTGCTAGCAAGTTGTTAGGGCGGGAAACTGGACAACAGCTACGAGGGCTCTGATGCTTTTAGACACATACATTCCAGCAAAGACCCGCAAATAGTTAGGCAGAATCCAACGACGCAAAAAAGCAAAGTTCTGTAGCTGTTGACATGAGCACACGTGACACCTCGTGCCCTGCGCTTGACATCGCCCCAAGCCTCGCCGGGATTGGAGATCTGCCGTGGGAGTTGAGAGACAAGACGTATCTGAACCCAGGTCTCGCCCTTTCAAGGACTACTAAAGAAAGCACTCTTGTCACCGCATAAGAAAGAATGAGAGAAAAATAAAATAAGGGAAGAAAGAGCCTAAGGCTCCAAAGTAAAGAGATGAGAAAGTTAAAGGAAGAAAAGTCCTGAACACAACAAAAAACCACAATGACAAGGTCGACAAAAAGAACCAATAGCATGACACAACCAAAAATCGACGCGAGGGAACACATCTTGTCTTGGTCCCTTGGAGTCCTTGGGGATTTGAGGCGGTCTGGGATGACTGACCCCGACCCTCAAAGTTCCAGAACAGGCGACCTTCTTCCAGCGACACCTATTCGAACAAAGCAACACAAACAACAGGTTCTTCCACTCATGTGGAGCTTTTATGTTTTTTATTCTTGTTCTTGGCATTTTGAACCGGCCAGCTTTGTCTTTCTGGTAGTTTCTGTGAAATGACTGTCAGAAGCTTTCACTAATCATGAACAAGGCTATTTTTCGAATGAATTGTGCCCTTCACTCAACTTCACTGGTTGACAACCTGCTCACCATATCTGGAGACACGCAGTTCTATCGAAGCCGCTGCTAAAGGGAAGGCAAAAGCCTCTCTTCCTTTGGCAAAGGTGAGCCAAAACCTCCTGGTGAATCAGCAGGAAGATTCTTTTTTCTTTTTTGGAGCACTTCCTGTACAGTATGCGTCCGCACGAGCATCCCATGGCAAGCAAAGTGCGGTAGCTCACCAAATTCGTTTCCCATGATGTAGGTCCGGTAGTACCTTGGTCGTTCAAGATTCTGAGCCAAACATAGACCTGTACATGGGGGATACCAACCCAAGCCCAGCAAGCAACTGCAAAGTGGGTTACGGTAGCTATGACAAAGCTTTGACAAACAACTGAAACAGGTGCCTTGAATCATTGAAGTGAGCTGAACAAAACATTGTAACCAAACATGCCTGGAGAAGAAGGTATTTGGTGTGAACACCATTTGCTTTGGTTTGTAATGGTGTCAGAACGCCAAAAAAGCCTATCACCATGAAAGAAGTCTTCCCAAGTGGCAGTTCCAAATCTTCAGCGCTCCGCCGTTTCAGCAGCTCTCGGTGGGCCAAATGAGCACGCATGGAGCGGATACCCTTCCGCTCCACTGAGAAGCCTCCATCCTGGAGAGCAAGAGCGAACAAATGCTCAAGTGAATGTCCTAAAAGCAATCTAGCACGGGAATTGTGCCAGAAACACAACCATGATGGCTGGATATTGTTGTTATCTTGCTCTCCCGGCCTCTGTTTGATGGCCATCAGCGAGGATCTTGTACTTCCGAAGCCAGGATTGATAGCCTCAACGCTTAGGATGGAAAACCTTAAAACACGTAAAGCCCGAGTTGTCGAAGTCTACAGTAAGGGACATTGCGAGAATCAGCAAATCAATTTGAGCTGCCTTCTCTAGAAGCAGTTAGCAGCTGTTGGCACTAAGCTGCCACAGTTGGCATAGTGGAGAATGACGGGCGCACCCTCGTCGCTGCAGCGCAAACTCTTGAGCCTGGCAGAGTTTCAGGAGGTGTCTTCCAATCCGGGGCAGAATCAAAGCAAGCAAAATGAACACAGAAAAAGAAACAAACACATCTTTGTGTTTTTGACCTGTTGACATGTTAGATTTAAGAATGACTATGTCTATGTTCATGTGGTGGAAACATGTTTGCGGGAAGTAGCCTGGTGAAATCAAACTGAAGGGAGGAAAGCTCATGTGAGCTGAGATGTCTTGATTTTGGGGATGCTGATCTGAAAATATATTGTGCCCGGACGTCATTCTCCCTTATGTGGCCACACACATTGGACTACTAAACTCTAGTACAACTAAAACGAGAAAAGGATGCGTAATCCGCTTTTTCTCTGTTTTCTTATGTCAACCACCTAGAACGGGTCAGTTCTCTGCCGGATCTGTCCTGGCATTGGACTCCGACGCGAAGCGATGCACACCGATGGGCAAGGGCCGCGGCGACCGCACCCGGCACGCCGCCTGACAAGCATCTGGTGTTCTCGAAGACGTGAAGCTTTGTCTTCCAATCATGTTCTGACCAAATTGTCAAGTCTGTTAAGTCCTACCCTCCGTTATTACTTGAAGAAGCAAATTGAAAGAGAAAGAAAGAAACAAGCGATGAAATTGAAAGGAGTAGCACGAGGACATGTAGTGAATTCAAAGAGGGGTGATGCCGTGAGGCCGCCGAGCGGTCTCATCTCGGCTGTAGAAGGAACAAACAGCTCCTTTCCGTTGCGCATATTACAGGCCAACATCTTCAGGCTGTTTTCAAGGTGGGTAGTCACCGGAGGATCAAAAAGCAAGTGGACACCTGTTTGACAAATCTTTTGATAAAGAAAATCGAAGAAATCCTTAGGACAACTTATATAGTTATGAACATGGTAAATCTTTTAAGTCTGTGGATTTTTTTCAAACGCGGTTCGTGCAACCGGCGAGGTCATCAACCTTTTGCCTTTGGGGGAGGCATCGTTCAAAGAATTCAACATGTCGAAGCCTGACCTTGCCATTGCCATAAGCGGTGAAAAAGCACGGAAGATCTTCATGTCGCTGTTGGCGCTTCTCTGATGGCTCCTGAAGTCCCCACAATGGCATCATGGGGGTCATCGGGGTCTAATCTTTCGAACTTCAAGACCTGATCAAGACCTGAAAACAAAAGCTCGCGCTCTTCTTCCAAAATCTTTTTCCTAATGCCTAACGGGCCTAACGCCTTTTTGTGGTATTCATTTTTGGCAAGGATGAAGTTCAAGGGTCAAGATCTAAGGTAGCAATTCAAAGCATTCTTTGTTCTCAGGGTCCTCATCGGAGTCAATGGGCTCTTGATCCTCTAAATCCAAGGGTGGCAAATCCAGTTTCAGCTGCTGGACCACTTTCCGTCTGGCCAACCTCAGGGTGAAACCAAACAGAAAAGGCAACCGCCATCGAGGGGTGAAAATAGGTCGCAGTAGTCCCCGGCCGTACTGGCCAACCAGGTGTGACCATGAGAAGGATGCCAATCAAAGTCTACCCAAAGCAAAAAGCAGAACGCACAGGAAACAAATTCCAACCCCGTTTTGTAGGTCCAAAGAGACCCAAAAATGGTACCCACATGTCACATGTCTCCCTCCGTCTGTTTCCGCCCCGCACCTCACTGGAAGCAAGGCCATATCGAAGCTCCGGTTGGTCTTCACATCTTCAGGATCGGTGCCTTTGGCCAATTGTCGCTGTCGCCATTTCTCGAGCTTCTCCAAGTAGCGCTCCCCGGGTTTGTGGAGCTTCTCGCTTTTGGACTCGCTCCTCGATCAAGGGACGACTAAACGGACATCTTTCGATCAAGCAGCTGCTTCTTAGAGGAGACAGCTGCTCTGCACCCTACAAAAGGCAAAAGAAACAGTCCCCACAAAAACAAAGCACTTGTGAGAAGCAAGTCTCAGTAAATTCTGATGGACTTTGAAGAGCGTGACTTCTTCAAACCAATTCGTGATCTCAAAGGACTCGGGAAGTGCTTCCAAATTGTTGAAGACGACTTGCTCAATCTCGGGAGGCAGCCTGAGATGTTGTGCGATCGAGAACGAGTCCAAAGGTTGCACACGCGATCGTCAAAAAAGGACTGCGTCTGCAACATAACTAATGTTTCCCTAAACATCTAGAAACCAAATCATTAGTGCGAGTATCCTGCGTCCTACCTAAAAGCCAACCTAGTCTAGTAGCTTAAGTAGGCACCTACTTCATTAAGTAGCCAGGGGGGGAGCGGCTAATCTGCATCTGGGCGACTCTTGAAAGAAGCTGCATGCATCTGAATGCTTCGGAAGCAGCAAGGCTTCGTCAGCATCGATGTGGAGCAGCCAGTCCTGGCTGGGCCGGTAAGTGGGCACCACCTTTCTTACGTTCACACCATTCACCTTGCCACAAAACACCTCCAAAAAGGTCAACAAAAAATCAGCAAAGCTATGGACAAGTTTAGAACGTCAGCCATGTCCATTTTGGTTTCATCTCAGCAGTTGAAAAGACACCTGGTCGCCCAAGTCCGGCGCCCAACGCCATGGTTTCAACGCTTCTCGACCGAGACTCAAAGCCCTCCACGTCTCGGAGCGCTGCTTCCATGGCCAGGCATTGCCGACTTTGGACGTCACCCAGCTCCCAAAGCCTCTCGTTTGTCGGGTGAGACGGGACAAAGAAAGCAGATCATCTAGAAGAATTTGAACATAAAACAAAAACCAAACACCTATTACTTTAGTCTATAGTAACAAGAAACTAGTAGAAACAAGTGCATCGCTTCTAGTAGCAAGTGCCTTACTAGTAGTAACAAGAAGCTAGTAGTTGGATCCTCTAAGGTATTAAATTAGATTACCATTCTGAAGCCAACTCTATGTGTCCGACCGAGGAGCTCCACCATTTCGGCGAAGATTCCTCCGCTCGGCCGCCGTTCCCAGAAGCGCGAGCTCTGCAGCGCTTGCTGCCACCAGGTCTCGGTGCAGCGCCGCACCTGGACTCCAAGACCTGGCCGTTCCGTGGTTCGAGGTCCCGATTTGGAAGGAAGCACCACCAGTAGTTTTGAGGGATTACTCAGAAGCTTCAAAGACATACTAGAAGCTTCTGGTTACTACAGGTGAAACGATTCCCGGCCTCCACCTAATAGCGTCCTTGCTACTTCAAATGGGGTGGAACTTCGTTTGGGCATACAACGTCTTAAACAAAATCCGAAGTCTGGCCATAGATGCCAAGCCAAGCCATTTCAGGATACCTCATGATGAAATTAATGTTAAGAGTTTCGGTCAAGACGGAGCACCTGAGAGGCCTTCGGCCACCTCAATGGCTTCGAGTTCGGATGGGTCATCTGGCGCATCGAAGAAGAGGAGCACCCGTTGGAAACCAATACGAAGATGATAAAGCCTCAGGTGACCCCAAATGACCCAAGTCATCCAGCAAGACGTCGAAACAAACCTGGGACCACTAGCTGGAGGACAACATGGAGATCGACTTCTCACCCCCCTTTTTGTGCCATTCTTCACGCTATGTTTCCGAATCATGATTTGTCTGCGAATGACCCCCGTGCCAGAAGGCCGTTGGCCTCAGATTAATTCCATGGCGCCTTGCTAAGTGCAACTTACTAGCAGAATGCACAGCAAAACAGTTTGCAACTTGGACCAGTCCAACTTTCACCGTACCAGGCCGAGCACGGCTTTCATGTGAGCTTCACCGACACACCAAGCTACGCAAAGCTCTTCACCACGGAGGCTCCAACTCCGCGCAGCAGGCAAGCCACTGCCAGCTGTGGCGAACGCGCCGTGGGCTTGGGACCTTCCAGGTCGTGAGATCTCGAGCTTAGGGCCAAGAAAGCTTTGTGGATCGTTCTTGCCAAGAAAGAAAGGTCTATATTTTTAGGTCTACGGAAAACATGCGAAAAGGACCTTAAGAGTGATTCCGGCCAGTTTTTGTCTTATGCGAGCTTGGGAAACACAGACTAAACAAGAAGCTTGGTTTGCCCACCCGGCGGTTGAAGCAAATTCAACCCTGATGAATGGAGCAACCCACATCAACATGATTGAGTCCCGCAACGCGCCACCCAAAGCCTGACTCGCTGGAAGGAGCCCACGTCAAGCTTGGAGTGTGCCAGAAACTTAACCAAATGTCCTCCAGTTTCTTTCCATCCATCGGCCGCAGTTCGCCCTCCTGAACAAGCAATACGGCTTTCAGAATCAGCTCCCACCAGCTTGCTGAAGGAAGCTGGTGCAACTCCAAGCCTGCACATCTCATGAAGTGATGAACATTCAAGCATCTTGAGAAACCGTCAGTGACCAACGCAGAACCTTTGCACATCTTTGCACTCACATCTCGGCCAATCTCCTGTGTGAACGGAACACCCAAGGCCGCTGCTCGCCGTAGCGCCGGTGTGAATGGCCACAGTTCCTGATCGACAAGAAGCCAAGAAAACCTTTCAGACTTTCAGGTGGATGGGGTTAAAGCACTTTTTTTTTCTCCTCGGAGAGCACACTGATGATTCAATTCAGTCCTTTCTTAGAAGGCCCACGATCCAATGTGCCGATATGTGCAGCAAACATGTCCACGATTCAATCCAGTGATCATGAACATCACGCGCTGCATTGTCCATGTGATGATGTGCAAACAACCGACGACTAGCAACCAGTAGATCGAAAGCAGCTCGGCCTCATCATTCTTCTCCAACTTTTCGACCAGCTTCCCGAGGCCTCATTTCGGAAGGCAAGTTTGGAAAGGTCAATGCAGCCATGAGCCAACACCAAGGGCATACAGTTTTGTGAAAGAGAAGCTATAAAATATAAAATGCCTTTCGAACGTTCCTGTATTGTGGTCCAAGCACTTGCCTTTGAGATCTTTGGGGCAAATCAATGTGAATGGGTCACCTACACAGCACCTCGAGCTGATTCGAGCTGCCCAGGGCTTTTCCATCCAGCAGCACGAAGCCAGCCGCGATGGACCGAGCCCAAGCCTCGTCTGCGGCCAAGCGCAGCCAGCCATCGACTTCTTCCGCCACCTCGGTGGACGGCGGCTGAGAAGGTTTTTGAAAGGATTTGGTGCGTGAGGTAAGCTTCTTGTTACTACTAGTAAGGCACTTGTTACTACTAGCGATGCACTTGAATGAAGTGAGGATGATGATCATGGATTCTGAGTGGTGAGAGATGCATGATTGCTGCATGATGTGTGCGTGATGTAAATACACCACTTCACAGCCATTTCCAACCTACCAACCTACCATTTCCAACCTGATTGTCTCCCACGGTCTTAAGCCTCTCTTGAAGAGTTTGTTTTTGGGTCTGCCCTTTGGTTCTCACCCAAGGCACTCGAAACACTTCGCCCGCGGACAGAACATGGACGATCTCTGCTGAAGTCGATGGCTTCGCTCGGATGGCGACCCGCGGGTGGTGCACCGTCCGGTAGAGGGTGCCGGGGACCGGCACAGCCACGCACATCAGGCCATGGCACTTGATTGGTGAATCGGCACGCAAGCGGACAAGGAGCGATCGGACGCTACGAACGGGGCTCCTGGCCGTACTACTAGGAACAAGAAGCTACGAGCGGGGCTCCTGGCATCGCTACGAACGGAGCATTCTTACTACTAGTAACAATACAGCTTACTAGGGGCTCAAGCGGACAACATCTGACAATACCTTCTTTCCCAAGGTCAGCTGGTCAGCTGTTGTGGTCAGCATCCCTTTTGCTCAAAGCTTCAAGTGGCAAGCCGTCTTGCTTGAACATGATGACATGTGCTTCTCACCCTAGTAGGGGAGCAATCCAACTGACTGTTCACAGTTTGTTCCCTTGAAAACCTTGATCTGAAAGAAACCGCGGAAGAGAAGGACCACATGCCGCCCTCGGGCCCTCTACTGCTTGTCAGGAACAGCTACTCTTCCAGCAGTGAAAAAACCTGTCCTAGCACCCTCGCCCTGAGTCCAGCCTTCGGCGTGATAGCAACGCTCATCAAGTTTACTTGCCTCGGCAAATAATTTTCCACAGTGAATTTAACGTGGAGGCGGCTACAAAGTTCGTTGGTGCCGCGTTCAGCTGCTTCTGTTGCAGATTGGTTCATGGGGACTGACATTTAGCGGTGCAACCGTGCAACCCCCATGTGGGCCACCTCAGAGCCAAACTCGAAGTGCTACCTGTCCCTTGAAGTGGTAAAGCCTTTCAAAGATCTCAGCCACTTGGGCACCTGACCTAACACAATAATACTTTCAATGACCATGGGCCCATGGGTCTTTGTTTCGTCCTTCTTTTAGACAAGAATGCTCGCCGTTTACAGTGAGAAGTCTCTCTACTCACTGCCTCTACTTGCGAAAAGGTCCTAGTAGATTCCTTTGCTAGTAGGAACAAGTGCCACGCTAGTAGTAACAAGTGCCTTACTAGTAGTAACAAAAAGCCATTAGAAGTAAACAACATAAAAAAATAAGTTAATTACAATTCTAAGTAAGTAAATTCTTATTGTTACTACTAGTAAGGCACTTGTTACTACTAGCGATGCACCTGTTACTATTTGCTTCGTCCCAGTCTTGAGGCCCCCAACCCAGCTACAGCTGACAGCGACGCCACTTGTGGAATGTCAAGCATTCGTCCAGCTAACATGCTAAAAGCCAGAACATCCGAAACCGGCATCTTTGTGTTTCTTTCTCGCATCTGCCCCACCAAACTTCAAAAGAATTCAGTGATTGGTCAAACTTAAACAGTTCTTCACTCGAGAGGCTATTAGGGCAAGCCAACCAATACCGAATATTGAGCGATTGAGTTAAGGTTTCAGCAACAAATGCACTCTTGAGCACTCACTTAAATGGCAGGGACCACCTTGCTCCGCCACACCATCCGTTCGTTTGCCTCAGCACACAAAGATGCACATTTTTGGTCTACAAGTTGCTTCACCACTTCAGCGATAGATTCCGAAATCCTCAATCTCAGTTGCCAGCGGACGGCCACAAGCTTAGGAAACACCGCGACCCCTGGCGCACAACCAAACGGAATGGCAAAACGGAATTGCGAAATACGCCAAGGTTGGAACAGGTCGGAAGGGCGAACTGCATCAAAGCGATCCTTCCAACCTAAAAGGTGCATTTCGTGAGCCGAAGATTTCTACTCCCTTGAAACTGGCTCCTTGACAACATCCAATTTCACGGAATCCAATAGCTTCAACTAACAATAAAGCAGTTGCGAGTCCATGGTGCAACAACAAAGAAGCCAAGGATAACCAAAGCCAACATGCTCTTTTTCGTCTGACGACAGTCAGCCCTTCCAACATGACAGCCCTCCGACAGGCTACTAGGAAGCTACTAGGAACAAGTGCATCGCTACTAGTAACAAGTGCCTTACTAGTAGTAACAAAAATAGTTTAATTAGAATTGTAATTACTAGCCCAAGAGGCAGGATTCGCCGCAGCCGGTCGGATGGTGTTCCCAGCGCCTCTCAGGCTGCAACGGCCAAGAAACCTCCCTGAAATCAAGAGTTTCATGATGTTTCATGATTATGTGATGTTCAAATTGTTCATCCTCCAAAAACACCCAGGATCTACAATCGTTTCTACTAGTATTTCTCGGGTCAGTTCTGTATGGCTCTCCGCCTCTCCGCCGGTGGTCCTCGCTTGGTCCGCGCCCGCAGGTGCTCCAAGGCTTTGCTCAAAGCTGCGGTGAAGCTCAAACCTGAAACCGGGATGAGGATCTGCGGACGATAGAACAAAATGAAACAAACTTGTTAAGTTTCCATAAGAATCTAGGAACCAAATCATTAGTGCAAGCGCGAGCTATCCTGCATCCAGTAGGTGGTAGCATACTAGTAGCTAGTAGCTACTTCGTTTTTACTTGCTGCTACCTCACCTCTACGGCCTACCCCCCCTTGGCTAGAAAGGAAGAGCAGCTTCTGTCCTTCGAAGAAGCTCCAAAAATTGGCCATCCCAAATCCTCTCCCGACGGATCTGCAGCGGAAGACACCCCAACGCGACAAGTCGTTGGACAACACGGGCGTCTCGATCGTGAGGCCATCCTGGGTGATTCACCATCGAGCATGGCACAACAAATTCGCCACAAGATTCATATCCCTTGCAAAAAGCGAGAGAAGAACAACCACGCCATTTTTCATCAATCCAGCGCCTTTGAAGAAGCAAAGGGTCACAGGGCTTATGCCGATAGAAAAACAACAAAGCAAAACTCATTCAAAGCAAGGCGCCACTGCGTAGTCACCTCGCTTGTGGGCAGGAACAAACGAGGAGAATGAGTGCCAAACATTCACCTCCAGAAAAGGACAACACAATAGGGCAACCAGAAAGCCCTGCAAACGAACTTGCACACTTTCCTATTGCTGTTTGATGCCTTTGACTGCAAGTGACAGACCAGGACGATGCCCAAATCTCCGTCCAACGGCAGTTCACCGCGAAGGCCACAGTGAGGCAGTTCAAAACCTCCAGGTGACTTGACGGGCAGCGGCAGGTATTGGAAGGATTCAAGGATTCATATTATTTCAGTAGTAGTGTTTTGACATGTGATACCTGATGCCTCTTCACTCTTCCTTTCATTGGGAAAGAAAACGTTTGCAGATTGAAATCGGTTTGCCACGAGCACACCGAAAAAAATGCCGCGTCTTTGGGTTGCAAACATACATCTAGAGAGGATGGGTGTGACTTGCGGTCATCTTCTGACAGCTTGGGAACTTCACCAAAGAGAGGATCTACACTCTGCAGCTCCGCACCTGGCGGCAGCGTCAACTGCCGGGAAGCAATCCTCAGTTGGCCGCTTCTCTCTCACTCCGATGCCTGGGGCACTTCAAGTCCGGGGAAACGACGTGTCGTAACAGTCCATATGCCCAGCCCAAAGAAGAGGCGTCTTTTCCCATCTTTTCCCCTTCAACTAGTTTGAAGGACCGACTCACTTGCTTCCCACCTCTGCTCCGACAGAATTCCTCGGTGCTGCCAGTCCTTCCACCCCTTGGCCCGCGAATCCGGCGCCTTGCTTTGCTCCAAAGCTGTGGTAGGAGCCGCTCCTGAGCATCAGCCACGGCGGGCGGCACGTCGGCGGCGCCCAGGACAAAGGCGTTCATGGCTGCATCCACCAGGCGCTTCTGCGCCTGAAGGAGTGAAAAAGAAGCTGAACAAACAAGGCGCTTTCGGGGGTGATTGCCCTTTGTTTCTAATGGCAAACATTTTTCCCAGTAGTAAGGCCAGGAGCCCCTAGTAACGTCCTTGCTCCTAGTAACAAATGCAATGCTTCAAGGAAGGTCAAGGTGTAGAAAAAGAGGCATGCAAGGTTGATTGGTTGCTTGTTTGGCAAGCGTTTCATTGGAGTATGGTAACCGGAAGAGCTCCTTCACTTCGGAAGAAGTCAAGTGAAGCATTTAAGTCAAAAAAGCTCACGAGGAAGGCCAACCTAACCACCCACGAAATAAGACTAGGACCGGTCGAACTTCAGGAAGTGCAAACTCCAGGCACAATGCACTGTGTCATGCCGCAGCTGTGCCGTATGTGTTGCCAAGGGCCTCTGAAGATGTACATGCGGTATACTGCGCGAAGAGGCTGGCGATGGGCACCACCCGGGTGATCTCCCCATCGATGACCATGTGCCCGGCAGCCTTGCTCCAGAATTGCACGAACAAGTCGCAGTGCCATCAAATACCCTAGTCTTGGGGTCAACATGACTCAACTGACCCTCCTACAACCACCAAGATAGTCTTTAACGGGGTTTCGGCCTTGCCAGCCCCCCCGCAGCCCCAAACTGCAATTGAAGCTTGCGCGGGTCGCCAGGTTCGGAACTAGCCGCTGTGTGTTGCCTGTCAGCATTCTCATTCCGGTGCACTTGGATTCTTTGAGCAGCCCAGCCGGTCCCATCCAACATCGCATCAAACTCAATGCAAGCCCCCCAACCAGTTTCTTAAAAAAAACGAATTGTAGATGCACTTCAATTAAATATCGGGTCGGAAACAAAGGGACCATGTTGGGATCCTGTTGGGACTTGCTCGTGGACCTGCCCGGTGGGGCACCTCATCGAAATGGCAGAGTTGGCGCTCCAGGCCGTTCTCCTCGAAGGCCTCCAGCAGCAGCTCCGCGAAAGCTCCCGGCGATGCCATCGCTGTGGTCGAAGCGCAGGAGCAAGGGAGGCAGAACTGTGAGAAAGCCGTTGGCCCAGGTGGATTGATGGTTGACAGTGAGGGATGCCTAGTTAAGCTTTCTTCACGAAGTTTCATTTTTTGTGGGTGACTTCATGCCAAGTTCTTGGCATAAAGAGGCGGCAAAGTCCTTCCTAGCTGGGGAGGTTGCTTGACAAACCCCAAAATCCATTGGCAGCATGTGACATCATGGCACTTCTGCACGGTGCACATGTTTTCCATCATCCTTGAGTTTCCAAGCCATGCCAAGCAGAAAAACACCAGAGCGTCCAGAGGAAATCCCACCTGTCCTTCCACCTTCCTTTCAGGCAACTGCCTCGAGCAAAGGGCATCACTACTAGGAGCAAGGACGCTACTAGGAGCTCCTGGCGTCGCTACTAGGAGCAAGAAGCGATGCCTGGAGCCCCTAGTAGCGTCCTTGCTCCAGCTTTTCTATCCTTTTCCCCTAGATGTGATCACCCTGAAGCCTTGTCAGAGTGGTGAAACGTGATCGACTTTCCCGACTTCGCCGGGAAACACTCTCCGTCGTGCTCCCCACGGTGGTGCATCCGACAGCTAGGCGTTTTTTCGAAGGAAGATCATGCAGAAGCTCACCCTCAGGCGTCAGCTTCAGGTGCTGGACAACACCTTGGGCGCAGGACATGCAATCGACATGACACACTTCGGAAGAAGACCACACTAAAGAGTCCGTCCGGACCCGCCCCTGCACAATGCATCAAGCAGAAATTTGATCTAACTCTCAACAACAATATTCAAAACAAATTAGGCATGATGGGAAGTCTGCCCCAATACAGCCCTCCTCCCACATCTGCAAACATTGCCACCCCTCCCATCGTAAGCTCAGCTTGCATCCTTTTTCATCCTTTCTCTATCTCCTTCGCCTCGAGCATCCGCCTCTTGGGAGCTCTCTCGACCGCGGACGCGGACGTGGACGACCGGCGCCAGGCGCCGGCCAGCTCCGCGCGCACGCGGCGGCTGTCGCCACCGCTGTAGGGCGATCCCCAGGTGACGACGCCCGTGGGAAGCAGCGCGGCAAAGGCACAGGCGTTCCCACGGACCTGCAAGACCTCACGTAGCAGGTGCTGCACCTGGAAGTCGAGCTGGCATTCGGAAGCAAGGCTGCTGCAAGGGGGAGATCTTCCTATAAGTTCCTTGTCCGTGCTGAACCAAACGCCCTAAGTCGACGAGCTGACTTTGATGGCAGGATTCGTCTCAGCTTTGCGTTAGTCAGTCTTCTTAACAAGTTAGGCTTCGGCTGATGATTGTGGACACTGCCGCGAGAATCCTTTACACTTGAGCCATCTCGAGTCCAATGTTTTCTTCTTCACTTCTTCCCCATTCCTCCGCATTAACTGCTCCTTGCTAAATACTCCAAGAAGTTTTTAACATGGTTTTCTAACTAGAACACCCCTACAAAAGCTCAGGTGCCCTTCGCTTTGAAGGTGCCCCTCCAACAAAAGAGCCGTAAGGCATGACCTCTACGGGTCCTTCGCATCTTTACGTTCCGAAAACGTGATCGATTCCCGGACCTTTCCTACGCGCTTCACCGGTTCCCTCCGCCTCGGAGCAGTCGCCGCCGCAGTCGGGGTCGCCCCAGCAGGTGGCGCCGCCGTCGTCCAGCAACGCGCAGAAGGCGCCCGCCGAGGCCTCGAGGCGCCAGGCGCCCGCTGCGCCGACGGGACCAGCACCGCCGCAGTCGGGGTCGCCCCAGGTGACCTGAGACACAAAGACCGGTCGCCACATCGACCGAAGAGGAGGACATGTAGGTGACATAACCAAATATGAGAGAAATCATGCAAACTGTCTGATATGGAATTGGTAAGGGAAAATAGTTGGCTGGGCTGTTGGGACATGGCTTGCAAGTTGGTCGGGTTCTGGTCAATTGAGGCGTTTCTGAACTTCTACAATCCTTTTAGGTCTTGAAAAAGCCCTTGGGCTTCGACTTGCGCAACCACCACACGTACCCCATTGTACTACAAGTTGGGAGATCGTCGTTGAACTGCATGCCCACCTGGACTACCTCTCGCTATTAGGTTGGAGGTCATCGCTATTGCGAAATTCGCTCGGCTGAGCGAGTCCACTTCTGCACCGAGCCACGATGCGCCCCTCTCCCACGATGGCGGCAAAAGCATCGCCGGCTGACTGGATCTGGCGAACGTCCTTCAGCAAGTGTTGAACCGCCTGGAGCATGGGATTCGTACAGCAACTCACTCAGGTTCCTTGTAAAGTTTCTAGCAGGAGCGGGAAGAACGCAAAAGCACTAAAAGCACATCTGCAAAACAGAACCACCCTTTTTCACTATTGTAGACCTGAGACTGCCATAGTCGTACAAATGAGTTGAGCGATGTTGAACAGGGGTAGTTGAGGTCAACCTGTCCTTCTTTGTAGTCTTTTCGCTTCCCAAGTCGTTGCAATTGCCAATTGATGAGGTGATGACACAGAGTTGGGATCATGCGGATCTGGTCTCTCATCGACGAGTGGAACATGAGAACCTGCGCGACCCAGCTGGAACTATACGCAGTATGCATGGAGGCACAACATGTACGTTCGAACAGCACGCAGACCGGGCCCACACACGGATCCCAGGTCGCCCCCGCCTGAGAATCTCCACCACAATCGGGATGGCCCCAGGTGACCACGGAGCCATCGGATTTCAACGCGGCAAAAGCACCGCCCGAGGCTTGGACGCACAAGACCGAGTGGAGCTTTTCCTGCACGTCGTCGCTGCAGCCACCGCAGTCCGAGTGGCCCCAGGTGAAGACCTCCACACGGAGAGGCCAAAAAGGAAATACATACAAGCAAAGGGCAAACATCTGCAAACGGCTTTGGCTTCATTCCCAAAACCACCCCCCGAGGCACCTGACCATTGGCGGTGACTGCTGCAAAGGCTCGGTCAGAGGCCGCAAGGCTGATGACATTCTTCAGTTGACTGCTGACCTTACAGGACAACCAACGGCAACGAAATGTTTCAGGGGGGGCGCCAGATTTTTAAAAACAAAATTGCTTAGTCACTTATTCACAAGAGGCTGGAAGCTCCTAAAAGTCTCAGGTTTCCTCCAGATCGGTCTATTTGGTTTTGGCCCGGTTTGTGCCTGGGAGTCTCCTCCAAAGTCGGGATCGCCCCAGCTAATCACTGTTCCATCGAGCATCAAAGCTGCAAAGGCACCGCCTGAGGCCTCGATTAGCAAGGGCCTCCGCCCCCCCTGGGCTTTTTTAAAGACAAGAAAAAGAGAAACCTAATAATCCTAATAGCAATGGCCTCCAACCTACTAGCGTCCTTGCTCCGAGTAGCGATGCCAGGAGCCCCTAGTAGCTTCTTGTTCCTAGTAGTAAGGCCAGGAGCCCCTAGTAGCGTCCTTGCTCCTAATAGCAATGGCCTTTGCCCCTACTAGTGATGGCCTCCAACCCAAGAGCAAAAGGCCTCGATCTCTTTCACTTCGCCCTTCAGCTGCAAATGTTCAGCTCTACGGCCCCAGGTGATGATGCTTCCATCAGCCTACAAGGATCGGCAAAGATTGCTGAAAAAAAAATGCAAATTTCATTTTGATCCATAAGAGAAAAGCACCATAGAAGGCACAAAGATTAATGAAAGGTAGAATGGGAAAGAAAACGCTGAACACTACGTTCTTACAGTAAAGAATATCGAGAAGAAAGGTCTGCCAAACTCTGCTGAATGAAATCCATGATGGGAGGACCTTTAAAGCCGCAAAGGATGAAGTGGAGGACACGATCCGCTGGACGTTGGTCAGGTTCAAAGCGCTGCTGTCCCCGCCAGACTCTGGATAGCCCCACGTGATGACTCTTCCATCAATCAAAAGCGCTGCAAAGGCAAAGCAAGTTCCATACACTTCTGCCACATCTTTCAGTTCTGCTTGGACGTCTTGGCTATCAGCACCAGCATCTGGATCACCCCAGGTGACCACTGAACCATCAGCTCTCACCAGTGCGAAGGCATAGGCCGTGGATGCCAAGCTGGGCTCGGACACTGTCACCGCCACGCGGTCACCGGACTGAACCTTCTCTTCCGCCAGCGTATGGCTGACCGACAGCGGCCGGTCGCCCAGGAAGAGCCGCCGGAGGCGGACACCGAAGGCCTCCTGCGCCTGGAAAAAGGGAGAAGTCTTGGCACGTTCGAGTCTTCGATCAACAAGCTCAGCTACAAGCTCCTCTAGTGAGATTAGGCCCTAGTGCAAACAAGACGAGCTTGTCTTAAAGGTGTGCAGTTGCCCACTTTGCTCGCCCCCTTTTTTTCCAAACCTCACCAACAGGAAGCCGTCGTTTTGCCGAGTTTTGCCTGTTGCCGCAACTCGTGGACTTTGGAGTTGGAAGAAATTTGAAGGCGCACGCTGGAGCCGCTCAATAAGGAGACTTCCAGGTCTACGACGTCTATGAGGTCCATGGCTTTCAAACATCTTGACAGACCTCGTCCGTCAAAGACCAAAAAGGTCTGCCCTCTTTAACTCTGACGTCGTCGTCCCTGCTGGACTTGGATCTGAGATGTTCACGTGGTTTGATGCTTGTTTCCTTGAATGTCCTCTGCTGTCAATGGGGGACTGTGTGAGACTGTTTGAAGCTGCTTGAGACAACGAAGCTGCCAGCTTTCGTGCATCGGATCTTCTTCAAGCAAACGTGTCACCAACATGACCGAGGCTACGGCGGTCCATGGTCCGCTCCATCGTCCTGCACCACTTGCTTGCGAGAATCCGATGAGACAGCTGAGCACGTTCGATTGTCGAGTCATGCATAGCTTCTTGTTACTACCAGTAAGGCACTTGCTACTACTTGCGATGCACCTGTTACTAATAGCTTCTTGTTACTACCAG